CCCTCAGGAGAGGGAAGGGCGGGAAGGGCCGCGCGCCGCGGTGCCCTCAGGGCCGGGCCCCTCAGGAGAGGGAAGGGCGGGAAGGGCCGCGCGCGCCCCGCCAGGCGGGGGGCGGCTCCGCCTCAGGGCCGGCGCCGTGCGGGCTCCGGCCGCCACCCCGCCCGCCCGGGGCCGGGCTCCTGCCGGAGGCGGCTCCCGAGGCGCCGGCGTTCGCATTCCCCGAGCTGCCGTGTGGCGGAGTGCTGCCGGCGCCGCGACCCCGTGTGCGAGCGGTGCCGGCACGCCGCTCTTCAGCTCGGTCGGTGTGAGGCGTGTCGTGTAGGAAAAGGTACAGGGGTCATCAGCCTTGGAATTCCCTCTTCCCGTCCGTCTGGCGCTGTGAACTGCAAATGGGAGTTTGGTTCTGCTCCTCTGCGTCCTTTTCCCTGCCGTTGTGGCTTTCTGGAGTGAGTTTCCGGAGGGCTGGGTTTGGGCTCCTGTGCAGTGATAGTAGAAGCAGTGGATGTCTTACCACCAACAGCGTGCAGCAACCGAGCTCGACAGATAATGGTAATATGAATTCTGCTTTAGGAAAAGCAGAACGCAAGAGGAAAAATGCATTCCTTATAGTATCATTCCAAAGGATGACCATGAAAGGAAAAAAAAAAAAAAAAAAAAAAAGGAAAAAAAAAAAAAAAAAAAAAAAAAAAAAAAAAGAGGAAAAAAAACAAACCAAAAAAACCCTCCAATACTAAACAACCCAAACAAAACCACAGTTCCCTCTCTCATGGTGACTTGGAGTGTTTTGTAACTGGAAACGGGAAACTAATATTGTCTTAGTTACATAGTTGCCATAGACTCCAAAAGGAGAAAGTTTTAGGTTGCTGGGGTTGAGGAAAGGTGGGGTAATATTCCCATATTTATGCTGGGTGTTGTATAGGAGATGATACTGAAAGAGAATTTGTATGAGGACTCAGCGCACTGGATCCTGCTGAAAAGCCTCAGAAGCCCCCCAGACCACCCAGACTGGCCACAGCACCCATCCAAGAGCAGCTCCCCCATCCAAGGATAACTCCCCCATCCAAGCAGAGCTTCCCTCATCCAGGCAGAGCTTCTCCCATCCAAGCAGAGCTCCCCCATCCGAGGAGAGCTCCCCTCATCGAAAGAGAGCTCCCCATCCAAGCAGAGCTCCCCGGTCCAGGCAGTCCCTTTGCATTTTAAACACACGTGCATTCTGCGGCTATAGCGCACGGGTTTTGTGTTTTCTTCTCTTCCAGCTCTGGCCCCAAGCGTAGGTATGTTAAAGAGAAGAGCGCCCAGGAAGCTTTGTGCAGGAAGCCAAGAAGGTGCAACACGGGAGACACAGCGGGGAGACTTTGGCAGGTGGTGCTGGTGACGCACAGAAGTTACTTTGCCTTCGTAAAGAAAAAAAGCCAGCTCTGCTGCTTATGTAGGTGTGTTCTTGTGCCCCGAGAAGTTGCCCGGGTCGTGCGGCGGCGGCGGAGCGGCGGCGGCTCGTCCTGGGCAGCGGCGGCAGCAGATGATGGTGGCGGCGCGGCGGTAGCGCGGCGGCGGCGACATCCCGCATCCGCGGATGCACTGCCCATCCCCATCCCCATCCCCATCCTCATCCCCATCCTCATCCCCGCGCGGAAGGGACACCTGAGGCTTCGGCAGGCGGGCGGGGATCGCCGCCGTTCGAAAGGGGAGAGCGTGCCGGGGAAGGCGGGCCGGCGCTCGGCTGTGTGTGCCAGTGGGCAGGGGGCTGGTTATCATGGCGGATCGGACGGCTCCGCGCTGCCAGCTCCGGCTGGAGTGGGTGTACGGCTACCGGGGCCACCAGTGCCGCAACAACCTGTACTACACGGCAGGGAAAGAGGTAGTGTACTTCGTGGCTGGAGTCGGCGTGGTTTACAACACCAGGGAGCACAGCCAGAAATTCTTCCTCGGGCACAACGACGATATTATCAGGTAAGGGGGCTGACTTCTCTGGTGGTGGGGTAGGGTGGGGTTTAAAGGGAAGGGAGGAGAATGTAGTGCTGGCAGAATACCCCCTCCTCGCCTCTTACAGCTCGGCTTCTACCTGCCGTTTTAGAGCAGCTCAGATTTGTTAGCAGCAATCTCTGCGAGAGCTGAATCTCTAGATACTGTTGATTATCATTATTTTGTAGCAAAGCTTGAAAATATTGCAATAATAACGGAGGGAAGGTTAAGTTTTTCTATTGCACTGCACCAAAACCAAAGCACTTCATTTCAGTACTGGGAAGATCTCAGTGCAACAGTGCTGCAAAATCATGCTTCCAGCACCTTGATGTTTTCAGGGCTGGGACCCCAGCTCATCAATTCTGACCTCGTACAGAAGCCAGGTGTAGCACTCCTCGCCCTCAGCAAATCCCAGCACGAGAGTGCCATAAATCTGACACGTAGCTCAAACTAATCGGGTTTTAATATCCAGAAAATGTAAATCGAAATCAATTTCAGATGTTTGCACTCCAGGCAAAAAAATCCCAAGAATGCTGGTGCAAGATGGCCAAGTCTTGCTCCTCGTCTGTCCAGTTCATTGTTCCTTTCTCTCAAATTTTGCCTGAGAAGTGGATTTAATTGATGTTTTTGTCCTACAGAAATGCTGATATTTTTACTGCATCTCTCAAAATAAAAATGCAATTACAGTGTTCAAGGTAGTCTTTAAACAAATCTGTCCAGAATACAGAAATTTACATCAGTAAAATAGAAAATTAATGTAGCTACTACTTGATGAGAGAAATCTGAGCCTAGAATATCCTCAAGAAGGATGTTGCCTGGTGATGCCACTCCTCTGAGCACAGCTATCTGCTGCCCTCCCTGTTCACCCAGTTCAGCATGAATGAAGCGTTTCCTGGATGATATGAAACCAGAACAGTCCCAGGTGACTCATGGTGTGGGAGTGCTGTGGAAGCATCTGCTGAAGCCAGAGTTTTGACACTCCATAACCAAACCACACTATTGTCACATAATCCTTGTTTGCAGAAAGCCATCCACTTTTCTCAGGAAGAGCTTTTGGCTGCTGTGTATCCTCGCAGCAGCCTTCTCCCTCTCTCTACGATGCATCAAAGCAGCAGCATTTCATCACGTACAGTGCATGTGCATCAAAGTTTATTTTGGCTCCAAAGGTATCAGCTCCAAAAGGCTGCTGAAAATAAACACTGGGCTGCTCAGAGAAGAGTCAGTATTTTAGAGACATCTGCAGGATCATGAAATGAAAACCTTTGCTTGTTGTATGGACATAAAATTTGATACTCTTTGGTACAGGAAGTGTAATCCATGTAGAGAGTTGTGTACTTCTGTGCTTATGTTTGAATTGTTATTATAATACCTGAAAGTGCCTCCCTCCCCAAATATATTGTACAGCTTCTGTACCCTTTACTTTAAGACCTGTCACATTAGGAGTCTGCTTTTGGCAGTGTCATGTTTAGAAGGTACAAATGGGATAGAAAGAATGAATGTCTCACGTTTGTACTTTGACACTGCTTCTGCCTGTTTGACTCTTTAAAGGAAGCTAGAACCATGTGTTCAAAGTAGTCGTGTCTTGAGGGACGTGCTGCATGTCCAACTCTTGTTTTGGAAAGATGGTTTTTATTTCTGATCTGGAACACCATCAGAATTCTGGTGGAAAACTCCAGTTTCCACAAAGGGTGAAACATTTGGGCACAGAAGGCATGAGCAGAAGCCAAGCAACAGTTCATATCAGCTCTTAGCGGCCAAGAACTGTTGCTGTCACCACGTGGGGTTTAAGGAAGGACAGACCACCCAGAATGCTGCTGGAATATTCTGTTGTTTGCACCATGGCATGGGTGGTTGCCTCCTTTGCCACTGGTGCACTGTGCAGTCCCTACTCACGTAATATCCCATCACTGTAAACACTTTAAAGTAGATGATGCCTTGTGTGGTCAGTGATAATATGACTAATAAATGTGACAATTTAAATTCTCACATTTTAAGCTTCACAACTCTCATCCATTTGAGCTGAGTGGATGAATGTACTTATCCAATTTTTCTGGGTTTGTTGGGATTTACTTGCTTGAAACCAGCTTCTAAACAGCAGGGTGTGAATTAGCAGTCCAACAGGTTGTAATTCCTAAAGAGGTTGAAACACTGTTTAAAAAAGAAAACTTGGATTTTGGAAAATAACATGAATCACTGTGACTGGGAGACTTTCAAGTGGGAAGACCTTCTGCTTCCAAGGACTGCTGTTATGTCCTTCTGTGAATATTTTTGTGGGTTTGTGAAAGCTGTTGTGTTGAAAAAAAAGATGAGAAACCCATGATTCTCAGAAGTAATATTGTGTGTTACCTTGAAGTGTTTACTGAAGTCACGGAAGGAGATATTTGTCACTGGTGAAAAGGGCAGGTGTGTATGTTTAATATGTTCTCCAAGATTAATAGTTCTGTCTCTTGTTTTGCGTCAAGATAATGCAGCTGGACATAATTTACTTTGGGCTAAAGCAGACCAGAAATGATTGGATTAAATTTTATTGTATTGGAGAAATGCCTTTTTTTCCAAGATTCACATTTGAAAGGCGAGTTCTGCCTGTATTCTGCACTCAGATAATAAGGTTGATGTTCTGAGTAGGAGCAGGGGAGCTCGGAATTGTCCTGTTTTCTGTGCGAAGCCACCACCAGGTGATGTGCTTCCAGTGCTTCCTCCTTTAACTTCAGAAGGAAATGAGGTCCTGAACCACCAATTTAACCTTTAAGTGAGCCCTGCTTTACAGAGGAGTTTGTGAGTAACCCCGGAGCATTAGCTTTGACAGTAATTGAAAACATTCTAAAGAACAGGTTTCCTTACTTTAATTTTGTGCATTACTTGTACACGAGTGATCAGTTAGATCAATCCTTGTTTTTCTCTCAATTAAGTCTTGAATGGAGACAGTTGTTTCCTTATAATTTTTCTGCAATTTGTGCATGTAAAAACCACAGCAAACAGAAAAAAGAAAAATACCACCCATTGAGATACTTCTCACTATCACTTAAAATGCAACTGATTTCATCTGTGTCATTTCATCAGAAGTCATTTGTCAACAGAGATTCCTAACCCTGAGAATTTTTTCCTATGGTGTAGTGACAAAGTTATTTCTCCCTGTTTTTGAGTTCCAAGAATTTCTGCAGTATTGGACAGCTGTGCTGAATATGTCGTTACACACCCTGGTTTCTTGTGGAATCTGATGTTTTGTATGTTATGAACTTACAAAAGCAATTTTGCATCCTAACTGTCTCCATGCCAGTCACTCATGAGGCAGCAAGCCTGCTCCCTCTCCCAGGTCTCCCAGGTCTCTACTACCTGCAAAGCTCTGCTGTTATGCATGTATTCCAGAGCTGTTGTTTATGTAAGGCTGCTCACAGTGTACCAGCAGTGTCGGATTTATCAGAATATTGCTCTGAGTGTGCTGGGGGGATGCCACTGTGCTGACAGATTGAGATTAAAACCGCGGCCGTGCCAGCGGGGATGGGATTTTCTGGGCTGCGGGAGCCACTGGAGGCCTGGCTTGTTCTCCACAAAGGTCCTTTCAGGAGATAGGATGTGTGTCAGGATGTGGATTTCTTGTCTTGCTGCTGTGGCGAAAAAAGGAGTAATAAGCAATGTTGTGTATTGCTGACCACAGTGAATATAATTTTGGAATTAGTAAATTGATGGCAGAGCTATGCAATTAAATTATCAGAGACAGAAGATCTGAATTGTACTTTTAATACTTTTTATTTTAAATTATGTGCTATTATATTTCTGTTTAGAGAGTTATGCTTATTTGAAAGGATCTAAAATACTTTAAATTTCTGTTCAGTTGCCACCATTTGGAAGGTGACAGCAGGTGTTGGTTGTAGAGTGGCGTTCAGGTTACTGCAGTTCTTGCTTATCATCAGTGCATGGGAGCTGCACTGTCTGCAGCCTGGGCGAACCCTGGGCTTCAGACACCCGAGGTGACCCCACAGGACTGCTGACATTCAGTCACCTAAATGAGAGATTTTAGGAGAGATTTTCAACAGCAGAAATTCCAGCCCTGTTTCCTATGTGGATGCTACACCAGTGCATCCACCAAGCCATCCAAATTAACAGATATGGCACACCTGGGGTGAAGCAGGGTTTTGGGAACTGTTTTGTGACAGCAAGTTGTTAAATGAGTTTTGTATGAGAGGAAAGTCCTCTAATCTGCTTGTTGCCTTTGCTTTCAATGCTGGAAAACCTAGGGAAAATGCTGTTTATTCCATGAAGTTCCAATGGCCTCTTTTGGCTCTACTTGAGCGCTGTGCTGCAGTTATATTTGAAGTCTTTATCAGGGTGTGACCTGCTATAAATTGTTTTCTGAAATATCTGTATTATTGCATCAGATGTGTTGTAATATACAGTTACAGTATCATATTGAAAGTGATTTAGAAATACTTAGGTCAGATAAAAGTGGAGAGAAACTCAGCAGGCATTTGTCACTATATGTTGATGAGAAAGGTCATCATTTAACCACAGCCTTTAACCAGAGCAGTCTAAATCTAATTTTTTACAACTTTTTTTTACATTTCCTATGTGTTAAGTCTCTGCAGTTTTTTTACTTGTTTTATTTCAACTTGATTTCAGATGCCCAGGAGTCGTGATGGTCAGGTAGTTGTGTGTAATCACTCTTTACCAGGATGAAAACTCACAGAAAATGTTTTCATATTACTTAATTCCAAATTAAAAAAAAAATCTACAACTCCAAGTATTGGAATGCTTCTATATGAAAGTAGGAGGGGATTTGAGGTCTGTAAAAAGATCATCTTCTGACTTGCCAACTGCTCAGGTTTTTGGGAACCTCGGTAAAGAGCAAAAATGCCCGCTTTTCTTCCTACCTAAAGACTGTTCTTTGGAACATCATCTTCTTTTTCATGAGGTGCATTTCTACCCCAGGAACATTTAGTTGTCTGCATTGGCTGTCCCAGAGACAAATTGAATTTCAATTCCCCTTCAGA